TATGGAAACACAAACGTCCAAGAATAGCCAGAACAATCCTCAGCAAAAAAAAACAAAGCAGGTAGTATCACAATACCAGACTTCAAACTTTACTATAAAGCTACATCATCAAAACAGCTTGGTATTGGTACAGGAACAGGCATATAGATCAATGGAACAGAATTGAGATTCCAGAAGCAAAACCTCAATTTCTCAACCAACTCATCTTCGACAAAGCCCCCACTACCACTACTGGGGAGAGGAGAACCTATTCAGTAAATGGTACTGGGAAAACTGGCTGACCACATGCAGAAGATTGAAACAGGACCCCTATCTATCACCATGCACAAAGGTTAACTCCAAATGGATCAGAGACCTAAATGTAAAACCTCAAACCATAAGAACCTTAGAAAAGTAAGGAAATACCCTCATGGAAATCGGAACTGGCATCCAATTCCTATACAAAACCCGAAACCCACAGGTCGTAAGAGAGAAGATAGACAAGTGGGACCTTATTAAACTGACAAGCTTCTGTAAAGCCAAAGAAACCATCAAGAGAGCAGGGAGACAGCCTACAGACTGGGAAAAAGTATTTGCCAACTCTAGGTCTGACAAAGGCTTAACATCCTGGATCTACAAGGAACTGAAATGTTCTGAAAAGAAGAAAACAAACAACCCCATTATAAAATGGGCAAAAGATATGAACAGACACTTCACAAAAGACATCCAAGCAGCCAACAAACACATGAAGAAATGCTCAACCTCACTAATCATCAGGGAGATGCAAATCAAAACCACACTGAGATACCACCAACTCCAGTCAGAATGGCAATTATCAACAACTCAAAAAATAACAGCTGCTGGAGAGGGTGTGGTGAAAAGGGAACACTTCTACACTGTTGGTGGGAGTGTAAACTAGTGCAACCTCTGTGGAAAGCAGTGTGGCGATTCCTAAAAGCTCTAAAAATCGAACTTCCATATGATCCTGCAATCCCCCTACCGAGAATATACCCAGAAGAACTCAAATCACTCTATAAAAAGATACCTGCACACGTATGTTTATCGCAGCGTTGTTCACAATAGCAAGAACCTGGAAACAACCATGCTGCCCATCAAAAGAGGACTGGATTAAAAAAATGTGGTACATATACATGATGGAATACTATGCAGCCATAAAAAAGAACAAAATCATGAATT